TTTGAACCACCAACCTTGCAGTTAGTAGTCATATGCTTATACTACAGTGCCACATAATTGAAGATTTTAACAAACAACTTTGATAAAGAACAGAAAAGCGAGAAAGAAACTCAACATTAAGACACAAAAGAACTAAACAACTCAATCAACCAACCTGACCTCATAGACATAAACAGATCATTCAACCCAACAACAGCACGATATACATTCTTCTCCAGTGCACATGAAACATTATCCAGAATAGACCATATGGTAGGCCACAGAGCAAACCTCAATAAGTTAAAAAAAAGTCAAAATACTACAAAGCATCTTCTCAGATCACAATACTATAAAGTTAGAAAACAACAAGAAGATCAAAGGAAAAAAAACATAACAGCCAACATCACTCTCCAATGGTGAGAAACTGAAGCCATTTCCTTTGCAAACAGGAATCAGACAAGGATGCTCTTTAACATCTTTCCCATTCAGTACTGTGCTGGAAGTATCAGCCAGAGCTATATGGTAATAAAAGGACATTAAAGGCATCCAAATTCACAATGAATAAGGAAAACATTCACTATTTATAGAGGATATGATTCTGTACTAAGAAAACCTCAAAGACTCAACAAGAACATTATTGGAATTCATTGATAGATTCAGTTGGATTCCTTTACACTAATAAGAGTTCTGAAAAGGAAATCAAGAAAATGCCATTTACAATAGCCACCCAAAAGAATAAATACTTGGGAATAAATCTAACCAGAGAAACAATTGACCTATACAAAGAACACTATAAAACACTACTACAAATAAAACGAAAAAAGACCTGCAGAAATGGAGGAATATACCTTACTCTTGGATAGGAAGATTTCCATCGTGAAAATGTCAGCACTATAGATATAATGCAATACCAATCCAGATTCCAACATCATTCTTTAAAGAGAAGGAAAAACTAATCATTAACTTTATATGGAAAGGAACAAGACCCTGCAAAAGCAAAACATTATTAAAAAAGAACAAAGTAGGAGATCTCTCACTTTCCAATCTGAAAACCTACTACACAGCCACAACAGTCAAAACAACATGGTGCTGATACAACAAAAGACACATAAATCAATGGGAAAGAATTGAGAATCCAGAAGCAAATCCATCTACCTACGGTCAATTAATCTTATACAAAGGGCCAAAATGCATTAAATGGGGAGAAGATAGTCTCTCCAACAAATGGTGCTGGCAAAGTTGGAAATCCATTTGCAAAAAAAATGATATAAGACCCTATCTCACACCATATACAAAAATGAATTCAACACAGATTAAAGACCTAAATGTAAAGTCCACAACTATAAAGATCATTAATGAAAAACAAAGAGACAAACTTAGGGGCTCTGAATACACTGTCAAACGTAAGTGAAAACACACAAACAGAAGGCAATATAAATGACTGGGACCTCCTAAAAATTAGACACTCATGTGAATCAAAGGATTTCACCAAAAGAGTAAAAAGACAACCCACAGACTGGGAAAAATATTTTGGCAATGACATATCAGACAAAGGATTAAAATGTATAGACTATTTCAGTGCCTCAACAAGAAGACAAATCATCCAACTTAAAAATGCACAGATGACATGAACAGACACTTCACCAAAGAAGATGTTCAGGCAGCCAATAATATTTGAAGAAATGCTCACAACGATTAGTTGTAAGAGATACAAATCAAAACAACAATGAGATAGATATCTTATTCCAGCATTAGCAAAGTTAAAAAAGAAAAGAAATGCTGGCAAGGGTATGGAGAGACTGAGACCCTCCTACACTGTTGGTGGGGCTGTAAAATGGTGCAGCCACTGCGGAAAACAGTATGGCACTTTCTCAAAAATCTGGAACTAGAATACCATATGACCCAGCTATCCCTCTACTTGGTATATATTTTGAAGAAATAAGAACTGTGACACAAATAGATATATGCATACCTAGATTCATTACAGCACTATTCACAATAGCTAAAAGATGGAAACGCCTAAATGCTCATCAACAGAAGGATGGTTAGACAAACTTTGGTACACATAAACAACGGAATACTATGTAATTTTGAAGAATTATCTATGAATCTGTAAAACACCTCACAATCATAACATGGATGAACCTGGAGGATATTATGCTGAGTGAAATTAGTCAACTGCTAAAGTAAAAGTATTATATGAGACCACTATTGTAAAATGTTATGAAAAAATTTTCTTCTAAACGAAACATTGTATGATAGGTATTGGGGGGGAGGGAAATTATTCACAGGCTAGAGAGTAGACATATGTTACACATGAGTGATGGGGCAGTCAATATACAAGTGGGAGGTTGACAAATAAAAAAGGAAGATAGCAGGAGACACTAGGAAGAGTACAAGAGTTAAAGGAAATAGAGGTGTATACTGTTAGCTAGAACCGACTCGACGGCACTTAACAACGACAACAACTGTTAGCTAATGGTACATGGAGGGAATTCTAATTATTGTAATGAAGTGAAGTGTATGATTTGCTGAATGTAAAACTGATGTTATGCTCTGTAAACTTTCACTCAATTCACAATAAAAAGTTTTTTAAAAGAATTTTTTATTGCTGACTAAACAACATATAGCATATTTTAGCTGCTTTTGATTAACAGAAATCAAATGGCTCTCTCTGCCAGCCACCCTACCCCCATTTATTATTGTTATTAAGTGCCATCGAGTTGGTTCTGACCCATAACAACCCTGTATAGGGTTTCTGAGGAGCAGCTGGTGAGCTCGAACTGCCAACCTTGCAGTTCAAATGACTTTGCTATCTGGTGCATTAACCCACAGCACCACACCAGGACTCCTCCCCCTATTTAGGGTATCTGTTCCAGTCCTTTGGGGAACATAGAGATGCTGATACTGGCCTCAAAGGACTGTGGGAAGGGGCAGCAGGGCAGACATCTATCCCAGTCTCTATTGCAGAGACCCTGTCCTAAAGCAGCTTAGAAATTCTCAAAAAGCCAAGGTGACTAGCTTAGTTGCTCACATCTTAGCAACTAACATGAAGAGCTAAAAAAATCATGAAGAATGACAGTGGTCATACTTATTACAAAGTTGAGCACAACAGAACTTCTACCAGATAGTTCTGAGAGACCACTTCATCATGCCAGCCTTGGGAATGACATCCCTATGTCCCACTGATTTCCTTATTTGCAAACCATACAGTGATTTCTCCCAGCCAACAACAAACTCCTGGAGAAAAATGAACACCTCCACATGCTTTCAACCTGGTACATGGTAACAGTTTGCTGAATTAAAAAAAAAAAAAAAAATACATTTACACATCTGAGAGAAGACCAAATCACATGTCACGTTTCTCAATGTGCCCTTACTCACTTCTGGTTTTCTACATTTTCTAATATAACTTTTATTTCTATTAACCTGTTCTCCTAATACAGCTCTGTGTTTGTGCGAATTCCTATTTGTCTGCCTCTCTGAATCAGTCAATGACCAATGTTTTCTAATTGTCATGTTCTTGTACATTTATCTTGAGAAATAGGGACAGCAGTAAAAATATATTTAGGCCATATACAGTTATCTCCCCTGTACTTCAAACCACTGTGAACTATTGTTAAGAGGCATCACAGAAACAACAGGGGTTTGAAACTGTGCTACCAATATCCAAAACCAAATCCACTGCCATCAAGTTGATTCTGACTCATAGAAACCCTTTAGGAGAGGGTAGAACTGCCCCATAGGGTTTCTAAGGCTATAAATCTTTACAGAAGCTAACTGCTGTATCTTTCTCCAAAGACCTTCCAGTTAGTAGCGAAGCCCTTACGCATTACCCCACCAGGGTTTCTTGTTATAAATAGAGAGAGTAAATTAAGGCTGCACTGAGACTCCTCCATGCTACTGTTCCTTTCTTCATCTCAGCCCAATGGAATGCCAGGTGTTTACAAGAAACAAGACGGCAGCTATCTGCATCAACTGAGCAGGAAGGAGGCCAAGGTAATCCCCATCCTATACAGGGTCACTATGGCACTTAACAACAGCAACAACAATGGTATTCTGCATGGCCATTTCCTTCCTGGAACTCAAGAGCAGAAACCTTGGTTCCAAAACAAAGATTAATAGCAGCAATACCCAGTTGAAATGGCAAGTGTTTTGTGTTACACTTACAATTTTAAAAAAAGGGGGGAGGAACCACTCCCTTATGATGACACTTTTGCACATTTATCAGCCATTAAAAGCCAACCCCAGCTAGAAATTCCAATCTCAGATCCAGAACTTTCAAGATGAACTTTCCCCCAAACACCTGTACCATCTGAGCCCTATAGACCAAATCTGACATGCAAATGTGGTCTGCTGGGCTGCCTAAGTTTTTAGGTTTTTTAAATTTAATTTAGCTGGCAATATAATAGGAGATTTCACATAAATATCTAGATTTTCTGATTCTCTGGAAAAATTAGGAATTCCATGTGACAACCACCAGTAGGAGTTAACAATCGCCTTCCTTAAACAGCATTAGCTGTATGCTTTTAGTGCCCACCAATGTTTTATCCCCTGCCACTTATATATGCTTTTCTTATCTACATTCCCTAGCTCAGTCTCTCCCCCTAAACCTCAGTCGAAGGCTTCATAGCAATTAGTACACACAAAATCCTGGATCCCATTATGTGTTTACACACATGTTCTTTCTACTACTGAAAACCTTCTTGATACATCAAAAGCTTTACTATTGGATAAATACAGTTCCTGACCATGGATTAGTTTTTCTTTTTAGAGACCCTAGACTTCTCCAACTCTTTCACAGCATAACCAAACTATCAGTAAAAAGATTTTTAATCTCTATTATAAGACAGTGAAGAGACTTTATTCTCCATTATTAGCCCTGAAGTAAGTTTCCTCAACTTACGACACTTGGCGTTTCTGAAAATCTTGTCCCTGTGAAAAGTTATCAGTCACCAATGCCAATTTATTTTCCACTACAGAAAGCAAAAGAGTTCAGAGTCCAAACTCCCTCACAATCTTCACCGCACTTCCAGATGCTCTGTTTCATGGTCTCCTGTTAGACCCTTACTGGGTATCTCTAAGCCCAGGCGGCTCAGGGAACGCACAAAGAACTGAGGAGGCTTGCAGACCAAGTTGAGGTCATCCATCCTGGACCCCAGGGCAGGCAGGATCAGCTGTTGGGCATGCAAATGGAGAGGGATGTGGCGCGCCTTCGACTGCTTCAGTCCCAGCTTCTTCAGGGTGCCAACACACAGCTTCTATACAAAGAAAAGATGGGTCCTTGAGAGCGATGCCAATGATCCGTCCTTGGCCATCATGAAGGGTCTGAAGACTTCCAATGATGGGAACCCAACTAACCCCCCTGGAAAATACAGTAATGGATAACCCTCTTCAGGACATGTCTAGAAAATGTTCAGAACCCAGAGATGAGGAAAACTATGACACCAGTGAGGCTCTTCTAGGTCAATGCTCTGGCTTTCCAGAATGGGCTATAACAAAATAATGCATGAAAAAGATCCAACTTTGGTTCATTAGCAGTAGCATGAAAGGCTGATTTTACTCAGAAAGACTCTTTTAATACCCACAGTCCTCCAACATATGAAGTGGTGAGGTTTTTCTAATAGATCCTGCAATTCTAGGAGAATAGTAACAAGTTGCTTTTGTATTTCTCCAGCAGCTAGATAATCATTAGAGTTATCATGTCTCAAGATTCAGTTCCAGGTTTTAATAAAACCCCCAAAGTTCTTCCTCATACTTTGTTGCACATTGGATCAAACCAATATTACCTGCGGGGCCAATCTATTCCAGTCTGAGTATTTGTGATCACCAAGAATTGGACAATCTAATCCAAAAGACAGGTGAACTCGTAGCTGATGTTTTACTCCTAAAACAAACAAACAAATACCAAAGAAAAAGAAAGTTTATGAGGATTCACAGAAATAATACCACTTCTGATATCTGCTTCTAATCATATTAAATCAAAGCATACTAAAACTGGAAAAACCCCAAATACAACAAGGTATAAAGAATAACATTACAGACTGTAAGCTCTGCAGTGCTACTTCACATAAAAAATGAATATAGTCAGAGTCCTAAACATCCCTCCCAAATCATATCCTCTTCCAACCATGATATAACCCAAATCCCAAAATCCTAAAGAGGTGTGGCACTGTACGATAAACGTTGGACTGCTAACCATAAGGTTAGAGGTTCAAACCCTCCAGCTGTTCTTTGGAAACTCCATGCAGGGTCACTGAGTTGGAACCGACTCAATGACACTTAACAACAACAACATTTAATTGCCGTGATTTTAAAAAATAATTCTACTATATAATTGTGATGGTTAATATTATGTGTCAACTTGGTTAGACCATGATTACCAGTAGTGTCTGGTTATCCATTTTACAGGACCGCAAGGTCAGTTTGAACAACAAAGTAGATGGTTCAAACTCACCAGTTGTTCCTTGGGAACCCTGTACTGGGGTGCTATGAGCCAAAGATGACTCAACGGCACCTAACAACAACAACCAGTATTAAAGAGGAAATGTGGTGGCACTATAGGAAAAGCATTTGACTACAAAGAGTAAGGCCAGTAGTCTGAGCCCACCAACTGCTCCAAAGAAGAAAGATGAGGCTTTCTGTTCCTACAAAAGATTTACAGGGTGGCTGTGAGCAGAAACTAAACTGACAACACTTAACAATAACAGCATATATTAATGACACAAGATTGGTGTGGGGTATGTTTTGAGTAACAGCCTGGTGAGAAGACATGACTGAAATCCCATCTTTACTTAAGACTCACCTTTCTTAATAAGATGCAGGGGGAGTTTCCTTAGGATTGTAAATTGTATCCAAGTTATAACAGGAGGCTTCAAAAAATGTCCATGGAAAAATGGAATCAAAAGATAATGCAATTTTTTCCCCCCAACATCCATTTCTGACAACACCACTCAACAAAGTAGGAACTCTGAAGAGAAATTCATCAACATAATTAAGATCATATATACAAATCCAACAGCCAACCCATTATTCTGAATGGTGAGACACTGAAAGCAATCACCTTGTGAACAGGAACTAGACAAGGATCACCACTCCTATTCAATATTGTGTTGGAAGTCATAGCCAGAGCTCTAAGGCAAGAAAGGAAAATTGACAAAAAAGAAGTATAAAACTCTTTCTACTTATGGATGATATGATCCTATACACAGACAATCCCAAAGCCTCAGCAAGAAAATAATTGGAAGTCACTGAAAGATTCAGCAAAGTGGCAGGGTATAAGATCAATAAACAAAAATCTAGTGGGTTTTGATATATTAATAAGACAGCTCTAAAAAGGAAATTAGAAGAAAACAAGACCCTTCAATATGCTGCCTGCAAGAGACACACCTTACACACAAAGACAAAAACAGACTAAAAGTTAAAGGGTGGAAAAAAATACACCAAGCTAATTGTAATAAAAAATGAGCAGGAGTGGCAATACTTATCTGTGATAAAATTAATGTTAAGGCAAAAACCAGCACGACATAAAGAAGGACACTATCACATGACTAAAGGGTCAACTGAACAAGATGACATAGTCATAATAAATAGCTACCCTCCAATGAAAGAGCACCAAGATATATAAAGCAAACACTACTAAAACTGAAGAAAGAAATATACACATCTACAATTAGAGTGGGAGATTTTAATACGCCATTTTCAAAAAGGGACAGAACAACCAAAAAGAAACTCAACAAAGATGCAAAGGAACTAAACAACAAATCAACCAACTTGACCTCATAGACATATACAGAGCATTCAACCCAACAACAGCACAATACACGTTCTTTTCCAGTGCACATGGAACATTCTCCAGAATTGACCATGCGTTGGGCCACAAATGTCCATACATTTACAAACATCAAAATACTACAAAGTATCTTTTCAGACCACAATGCTATAAAACTAGAAATCAACAATAGCACCCTGCTGAAAAGTGACTGGGTAGTAGAAGAAATTAAACGTGAACTCACAAAGTTCCTAGAGGCAAATGAGAATGAAAACAAAATCTTCAGGACAAGGTGAAAGCAGTGCTGAGAAGTCAGTTTAGTGCAGTAAATACAAACATCCAAAAAGAAGAAAGAACCAAAATTAGCACATTAACACAGCATCTCCAACAATTAGAAACAGACCAACAAAGGGAACCTACAGACACCAAAAGAAAGGAAATAATAAAGATTAGAGCAGAAATAAATGAGACATAAAACTGAAAAACTATAGAAAGAATCAACAGGACAAGAAGAAGCTGGTTCTTTGAAAGGATTAATAAAATTGACAAACCACTGGCAAACCTAACAAAAGAAAAGAGGGAGAAGATACAAAAAACTCACATTAGAAACCACATGGGCGATGTCACCACAACGGAACCAAACGAAATCAAAAGGATATTAACAGAATATTATAAAGAGTTGTACTCCAACAAATTTGAAAACTTAGAAGAGATGAATACGTTTTTAGAAAAATATGACCTACCCTCGGAAACCCTGTACAAGGTCGCTATGGGTCGGAACCGACTCGACGGCACTTAACAACAACAACAACAAAACTTACACAGAGTAAAGTAGAAAACCTGAACAGACCTATAACAAAAGAAGAAATTCATCAGGTCATGAAAAAACTCCCAACCAAAAGAAGGCCAGGTCCAGATGGCTTCACTGGTAAGTTCTACCAAACATTCAGGGAAGAGCTGTCACCAATTCTACTCAAATTATTCCAGAATATAGAAGAGGATGGAAAACTTTCTAATACATTTTATGAAGCAAGCATAATCCTCATACCAAAACCAGGGAAGGACATCACTAAGAAAGAAAATTATACACCAATATCCCTCATGAACATAGATACAAAAATTCTCAGCAAAATCCTAGCCAACAGAATCCAACAGCACATAAAAAAAAATTATACATCATGATCATGTGGAATTCGTATCAGGGATGCAAGGATGGTTCAACATGTAAAAAACAATCAATGTAATCCAGCATATAAACAAGAAAAAGGAAAAGAAGCACATGATCATATCAATTGATGCAGAAAAGGCATTTGACAAAATCCAACATTCATTCCTGATAAAAACACTCAACAAAGTAGGAATTGAAGGAAAATTCCTCAATATAATTAAGAGGATATATATAAAACCAACAGCTAACATTACTCTAAATGGAGAGAAACTGAAAGCCTTCCCTTAAGCGAACAGGAACCAGACAAGGATGCCCTTTGTCACCACTCCTATTCAATATTGTGTTGGAAGTCTTAGCAAGAGCTCCATGACAAAATAGGGAAATTAAAGGCATCCAAATTGGCAAAAAGGAAGTAAAACTCTATTTGCAGACGATGTGATCCTGTACATAGAAAATCCCAAAGACTCAGTAAAAAAGCTACCAGACCTCAATGGAAGATTCAGCAAAGTGGCAGAGAAACAATGTTATAATGCTTGACTATCTTATGAATCTTGGTTTCCCTTGCCTACTACTGTAAAATAACACTTGAGGGGGAGAGAAAAGAATATTCAGAAACATTACTGTAGAAAGCTTGTAAACCCATCTTCAGCCTATAACTGATTGGAATACCTAAAATGGGGCTAGAATTTACCCAATGAAAGTGGCTTCCTGTGGAGCCTTTGCATTACATAAGACCTTAGGTGGCACCCTAATCCCCATTCAGAACCTTCTGAGGTGGGAAATTTCCACTTGAAAAGACAAGGAGACCAGCCTGGAGCAGCTAGAGGAGCTGAAGACACTTCTTGAAAGAAAAGACCAAAAACAAAATCAAAAACATTACTGGGCAGTCTGATTGACTACTAGAAGAACAAGCAAGCAGGCATGTAATCTTGCTGGTGACCATGCTG